ATACTAAATTACGATTTCTATTTGATACAAATTATTACGTTTATATATGTATGTCGGCCATATTCAGACGTTGTAATTACTTTCGCAATTAATTTCATATTAAATTACGAATTACATTTTCAATTAATGAGGCCCGCCGTGGATCGAATTATGGGTCTCATTATAATTCCGCCATTAAACACTAATTATAGTAGCAATTAATAACTAGCCGCTTTGATTATTAATTTCATAAAGATTCCACCACTTAATAGAAACGTATCGATAATCCGAATTGGTTGGTAAAAATACGAATTAATGTAAAACAAGTAAAATTTAGAAAAAAAAAAAAAGAAAGAAAGAAAAGAGAAAAGGGAGAATCGATTTTTACTTTTAAAAATCGTGGAATTATGACTTTCAATTTTATTATACTTTGGAATAATTTTCTAAACGATGCCTTTTATTTCTTCTTAATCATTTTTTAAGAAGAAATTATACTCTTCAAACAAAAATTGAAGAATGTTTCATATCCTTTTACGGAACATCGATTATTCGGTGTAAATTTTTTCTGAAAGGCGGTACTTCCGGTTATCGGCAGTACAGGATGGAACGACACGCCTATCAAATTACACCAATAAATGGCGCAAACATCAAATTACTGATTGGATACAAAATTTGAAATATAAATCCAGCCCAATATAATCTGTCGAAAAATAAATATCGAATTTTCTAAGAAAATTTTTAATTATAGAAAATATTTTTTTTAATATTCCTCGTGCTGTTAATTCCAAGACGAGAAAAGGGCAAATTCTGATAGGAAATCAATTTTTATAATATCAAATATGATATATATACACATCTATAATGAAAATTATATTGATTAATTTTTCAGATTTTCATAAGAATGATTATACAAAGTAATTCTTAAATATAAAATATAAAATTTAAGAGAGAGAGAGAGAGAGAGAGAAAGTTTGAATCGAAGCATATTTCACGCGATGATAACGTTAAAAAATCGAATATATTTCTCATTGCTGCGCCTCATTTATATTCAGTCGCAGTTGTCCTTTAAATGAAATTTATTAACAAATTATCCTCGTGCAGATTGTTGCAACGCGAGTTATTAAGATGCTCGAGGAAACAGAGACCAAACATCGTCCGGTTGTTCGTTCATGAATACAAATTGTCCGTATTAATCGCGTTTTTCAAGGAGTCTATCTGGAAAATTTGATCAATTAATACGCGAAACGACTTAACTGTGTTTTAATGGAGCCCGGTCGAATCGATCGATTTAAATTTCCGCTTACATGAATCGTGATCCTTGCCGGAGAGCAACAAAATTTATAAAAGCCACTTGACTTTGTAATTTAACGTATGGATTATAAATTTGTGCATCCTCCATTATTGGCAACGTTAAATTCCTATGGCTTTTCGAAAAATAATTTTATGAACATACATATACAGACACATACACACACATACACATACACAGATGGAAATGCAATAAAAATATTATTCTTCTTTTAACAAATTCTGTTTTTACGATAGCGTTTTCACCTCTAATATATCTTACACATCGTTATATAATCGTGTTATCTATTATGTGCATACGTAGATATATGAAATGTAAATGCGATAAAATAAAAATTAATTAAATTTCCCTCCTTTTGTGATCGTTTAATAATCATCCTTGAATTAAAATATTTTATTTCACGTTGTCGATTATTTATTACATTGTTCGAATTTTAATCGAACGAGGAAATAATATATACGAGATTAATTATCGATCGGCTGTAAGTAAATATATTTTTTCATACTTGATAAGCGAATTAATAGTCGCTTATAATCGAGCTTAATTTTTATAGATCAAGCTTGAATTTTAAACTTTTGAAAGATGTGTTAAAATATTATCAATATCTTTATTTAAATTTGTGATCGTTCGTCGAAACATTTTTCAATAAAAATGAAGAAGTAACAAAAGATTTTTCGAATTTTTTCCAAAAAAAATCGACGAATAACAATCGA